AGACTCAACGAGACTTGATGAAACTGAACAAGACTCAAGGAGACTCAAGGAGACTCAAGGAGACTCAAGGAGACTCACCGAGACTCGACGAGACTTGATGAAACTGAACGAGACTCGACGAGACTCAACGAGACTCGACGAAACTGAACGAGACTCAAGGAGACTTGATGAAACTGAACAAGACTCAACGAGACTCAAGGAGACTCAAGGAGACTCAAGGAGACTCACCGAGACTCGACGAGACTTGATGAAACTGAACGAGACTCGACGAGACTCAACGAGACTCGATGAAACTGAACGAGACTCGACGAGACTCAACGAGACTCGATGAAACTGAACGAGACTCAAGGAGACTCGACGAGACTCAACGAGACTCGACAAGACTCAACGAGACTCCACGAGACTCAACGAGACTCAACGAGACTCAACAAGACTCAACAAGACTCAACGAGACTTGATGATACTTAAGGAGACTTTTTGAGCCTCTACAAGACTGAACAAGACTCGACCAGATTCTTTGAGACTCAACGAGACACGATGAAACTGAACGAGACTCAACGAGACTTGATTAAACTGAACGAGACTTAACGAGACTCAACGAGACTTGATGAAACTGAACGAGACTCGACGAGACTCAACGAGACTCAATGAGACTCGACTCGACTCGACTCAAGGAGACTCCACGAGACTCAACGAGACTTGATTAAACTGAACGAGACTCAACGAGACTCGACGACACTCAACGAGACTCGACGAGACTCGACGAGGCTCGAGGAGACTCAAGGAGACTCCACGAGACTCCACGAGACTCAAGGAGACTCTACAAGACTCGACAAGACTCAACGAGACTTGATGATACTTAAGGAGACTCTTTGAGACTCTACCAGACTGAACAAGACTTGCCCAGATTCTTTGAGACTCCACAAGACTGAACGAGACTCGACGAGACGAGACTCACCGAGACTTGATGAAACTGAACGAGACTCAACGAGACTCAACGAGACTCAACAAGACTTGATGAAACTGAACGAGACTCAACGAGACTCAACGAGACTCAACGAGACTTGATGAAACTGAACGAGACTCAACGAGACTCAACGAGACTCAACGAGACTCAACGAGACTCGATGAAACTGAACGAGACTCAGCGAGACTCGATGAAACTGAACGAGACTCAACGAGACTCAACGAGACTCGATGAAACTGAACGAGACTCAGCAAGACTCTATGAAACTGAACGAGACTCCACGAGACTCCACGAGACTCAAGGAGACTCGATGAAACTGAACGAGACTCAGCAAGACTCTATGAAACTGAACGAGACTCCACGAGACTCCACGAGACTCAACGAGACTCGATGAAACTGAACGAGACTCGATGAGACTCAACGAGACTCCACGAGACACAACGAGACTCGATGAAACTGAACGAGACTCCACGAGACTCGATGAAACTGAACGAGACTCCACGAGACTCAACGAGGCTCGAGGAGACTCAAGGAGACTCCACGAGACTCAACGAGACTCAACGAGACACAACGAGACACAACGAGACTTGATGAAACTGAACGAGACTCTTTGAGACTCTACCAGACTGAACAAGACTCGACCAGATTCTTTGAGACTCTACAAGACAGAACGAGACTCCACGAGACTCAACGAGACTCCACGAGACACAACGAGACTCGATGAAACTGAACGAGACTCCACGAGACTCGATGAAACTGAACGAGACTCCACGAGACTCAACGAGGCTCGAGGAGACTCAAGGAGACTCCACGAGACTCAACGAGACTCAACGAGACACAACGAGACACAACGAGACTTGATGAAACTGAACGAGACTCTTTGAGACTCTACCAGACTGAACAAGACTCGACCAGATTCTTTGAGACTCTACAAGACAGAACGAGACTCCACGAGACTCAAGGAGACTCCACGAGACTCAACGAGACTCAACGAGACTCAACGAGACTCCACGAGACACAACGAGACTCGATGAAACTGAACGAGACTCAACGAGACTCAACGAAACTCAACGAGACTTGATGAAACTGAACGAGACTCAACGAGACTAAATGAAACTGAACGAGACTCAACGAGACTCAACGAGACTCGATGAAACTGAACGAGACTCAACGAGACTTAACGAGACTCAACGAGACTCGATGAAACTGAACGAGACTCAAGGAGACTCCACGAGACTCAACGAGACTTGATTAAACTGAACGAGACTCAACGAGACTCAACGAGACTCAACGAGACTCGACGAGACTCGATGAGACTCAACGAGACTCGATGAAACTGAACGAGACTCGACGAGACTCGACGACACTCAACGAGACTCGAGGAGACTCGACGAGGCTCGAGGAGACTCAAGGAGACTCGACAAGACTCGACAAGACTCAACGAGACTTGATGATACTTAAGGAGACTCTTTGAGACTCTACCAGACTGAACAAGACTCGACCAGATTATTTGAGACTCAACGAGACACGATA